TTTTAAGCTCCTAGCAGCTAAATAGAAGTGTTTTTTTTCTGCCCCTAGAAGCAAATAGTCTTATGCTGGGGGGTTTGTTTACTTAAGCTGGAGAGTGCAAAATCAGGCTCAATTCATAGAAACCAATCAGCTTCTAGGTTTTATTGCCAAAGCTTAACTGGACATGCTGAGGTTAGAAGCCGATTAGTTTCTATGCAGAAGTGAGCCTGATTTTGCACTCGATAGCTTTAGTAAATACACCCCTATGTGTCCATGCACACTTGCTAAATGCAAGATTCAGCTTCTAGGAGCTTTTTTCTGTGTTTTCGGAAACGATTTGCCAGCAGGATAAAACGCTAACACTCCTAAACACTATTGCAAGTGTTCTGCATGCTTAAACAAATTCTAGGCTGCATGGAGCCTTATTACTGAGAAAAAGCATAAAACATTAATGACAACATCCCCTTCCAGACAAATCCTTTACTTCTCCATAGGATCCAGAATCTGGGAGGCATTCATTAGAGATGTGCACAACAAAAAAAAATTAGTTTCGTTTTGGATGCATTCGTTAAGCAAATCATTTTGTTTTCTCATCTTTCTTATGTTAGAATGATTCATTTTTGGAATTCATTTCAGAAATTTTCTGCAAATCCATTTGATTTTTCAGAAGTTATTTTGGCTAAGCTATATTAGTTTTAATGTTCCAATTCATTATTTCAGATTACTTATGCACTTTGAGTCATCCCTGCTAGTCCATACCCACAAAGAGAAATGGAACAAGTTGATTGGACGTTATGGTCTGGAGTCACATGCACCTGACAGTAACAAATGGACAAATTTCAGATTAATTTTTTATATTATGATTAAGAGATACTTATGGATCCACCCTCATCCGATCTAAACACAATAAGTAGGAATCATCATCTTATTTCACTTTTATACTATACTGTATTTATTGCTTTATGTCTCTATTTCATACAGTACGTAGTGCATATTTTATAATTTAGTAAAAATGTTAATGAAAAAATATAAAATATAAACAAAATGGATACAAATCAATTCAGATTACTTGGTATGTCGTTACGTTATATCGGATGCTTCAAACATTAACAGAAGGCCCAAGCAATTGCATAAAGTCATCTGAATGAAACAAATGAATATTAATGAATTCGTTGTTTCATTATTATTTATTTCAGATTCTTTGAAATTCCTTATTGTTGTGATGCGAAGATTCGGATACATCCAAATCTCTGAATAATCAAAATTTCATCCAGATTTTGATTTGTAGAGCATCATATCACACACGTCTAGCACTAATTACAGGGGATCTGAAAAAGGTACTGAGCATGTAAACGTCAAACACTTTGAAGGAACCTAATTATACTGGACCACTTTTTGATTGTGTACTTTATCAAATGTGATTTAAACCTCCGTATTTTTATGTTTTGATGAGATCACTAAATTCTGGTGTAGTATCTAAAAATCTGCACCATTTGAACTCTGCAAGCTTTTTGTCAGATTCATATACAAAAATAAAAATCTTAACAGGTGATTTACCTAAAGTGACACTAAACTTAGATATATATATATATTAAAAAATTCTATTCAAGTATGTTTTCATAACTTTTGATATCATCTTCCTTCAAATCTCCAAATTTCTGAGATGGGCTAAAGACTATGGGAAATGTAGTGTGCAAAGAGCAGTGCTCATGACTGCAACTAACATGCACTGCCTGTTCCAAACAAATGGAAGTGATGGGGAAAAGGAGAGAAGTTCTGGAGTTTGCAGAGGCAAAAAAACCCCAAAAAAACACCACACTGTAAGAAACTATTAGGGATGCACAGATACTGAGTATTTTCACCAGTACTCATGAAAATACTCCCGATATCTGAAACTAATACTTTGCAGTGCGATTTGCGTCAATACAAAATGTATGATTGCAAATTGCACCGCAAAGAATAGCATGCAATTTGAATAGGAACGCGATTCCTGTCCAAATCGCATACGGTTTCCCCACTGCTCCTGTGTGAACCCATGTTTGTCATAGCCTGAGTTTACACAGGCATAGTGTGGGAAACCTCCCTGCAGCAAACCCATGCTATCACAGAAAGAAAAGATGGTGATTTTTTCTCCTCTCAGTGCATGGATGACAGTAGGGGCGTGACGGTGCTGACCAATCAGAAGCCGTCTAGCCTGTACCGTCATCCCTGCAAGGAGAGGAGAGAAAGTTGTGGGGATTTCAAATCCCCAGAACTGTGAATCCGCTTTCTCCCCTCTCCTTGCAGGGATGATAGTACGGGCTAGATGAATTCTGATTGGTCAGCACCTTGACAATGCTTACCAATCAAAAGCCATCTAAGCCTGAACTGTCATCCTTGCACTGAGAGGAGAGAAAGCACGGGGATTTTAAATCCCCAGCTTTTCCTTCTGTGACAGCATGGGTTTGGTGCAGGGAGGTTTCCTGCACCATTCCTGTGTGAACTCAGGCTATGAAAAGCCTGGGTTCACATAGGAGCAGTGGGGAAACCGCATGCAATTTTGGTAGAAATCACATATGTTCAAACTGCATGTTATTCTTTGCAGTGCAATTTGACTCCATACATTTTGTATTGACGCAAGTCACACTGCAAAGTATCAGTGCTTGGTAGCAGCAAGTACTTGACCGAAAGTATCGGTATTTTTATTGTTGATCAGAAAAGGGTATTGGAACTTCCCTAGAAACTACTCCATGAAAAAAACTACAGGACCTTTAGGCAGTGGATATGTATGGATTATTTTTAAAGAATATAATTTAGTGTCATTTTAAGGTATCAATTCTACTTTCACAAAATAAACACGAGTTTCATAATAAAAAATAAAATGCATGAATTGAGAGGTCCCCTATCTATTACATAAAAGGGTCCAAATCAACAAGCAGTATCTCCTTTACATAACCTAGACTCAGTAGTTGAGCACTGCTGAAATGTAGTAGTTACTGTACATGCAAAAGCTATGACAACTATCAGAAAACATGCAAAATGGGTTATTTTTTGATTATCCTAGAGAACAGCTTAATATTGGAGGTTTGCACAAGGCTACATTTTCCATGCAGGCTACTGTAAGGATTAATTAAACATAAAAGATGAATAAAAAAAGCAGAACAGAGAAATTGGGTGCAGATTGTATGGATAGTTTCCTCCCACTCTCCCAAGAGGCACACAGTAAAAAATGTAGAATATTTAAACCTTGCTCATAAGGTCACTTCCTTTGCTTGACAGCCATTTTGTCTGTGACCCCAATGCTTGTTCCGCTACATACCAGCCTGCACAAATTAACAATCCACTTATTATGTTTCTTATAGGGAGCAGTGTGTTAATAGAAAAAAAAAAAAAAAGACAAAAAACAAGATGGATTAGTCAAACAGAAGCACTGCATATTGTATTTCACTGCTTGCAAACATGGTGCTCAAATTCTTTAACAAATCCATTAATTCAGTCATGCCCTCTTCAAACAAAAGGAACCTAAGGAACAAAGAAAGTTGCAGCTTCAATAAACCATTATTGCTGGTTTCCAGATGTTCCTTCATGATATGTACAGGGAAAAATAATTATTTGATCCCCTGCAGATTTTAGATGATAGAGACAGACTATTAGGCGAAAATCCAGAAAAAACACATAATACAAATGTTATAAATTGAGTTGCAGTTCATTGAGTAGAATAAGTATTTGATCCCCTACCAACCAACAATAATTCTGGCTCCCACAGACTGGCTATGTGCTCATGTGGTACACAGATTAGTTCTGTCAATTTAAAAAAGTGCTCCTAATGACAACTCATTATAAAGACACCTGTCCACAGAATATATCTTTCTTCCATTCAAACCTCACCACCATGGGCAAGACCAAAGAGCTGTTAAAGAACGTCAGGGACAAAATTGTAGATCTGCACAAGGCTGGAATAGGCTTGGTGAGGAGACAACTGTTGGAGCACTTATTGGCAAATGGAAGAAATAAAAGAAAAAAAAAAAAAACATCAACTGCCCTTTGGCGCTCCATGCAAGATTTCACCTTAAGGAGTAAGGATGATCATGAGAAAAGAGAGGGAAACAAACCATTCGTAACACAAAATGCCGCAATAGACTGCAAACCTGCAGTGCTTGCAAGGTCCCCCTCCTCACAGTTACATGTGCAGGCCTGCCTTAAGTTTGGCAATGAACATCTAAATGACTCAGAGAAGGATTGGGAGAAAGTGCTGTGGTCAGACGAGACCAAAATTCAGCTCTTTGGCATTAACTCGACTCGCCGTGTTTGGAGGAAGAAAATTGCTGACTATGACCCTAAGAACACCATCCCTACAGTCAAGCATGGAGGTGGAAACATTATGTTTGGGGCTGTTTCTCTGCTAAAGGTACAGGCCGATTTTGTCGTATTAAGGGACAAATGGATGGGGCCATGTATTGTTAAATCTTGGGTGAGAACCTTCTTCCCTCAGCCAAAACACTGAAGATGGGTCTTCCAGCATGACAATGACCCAAAACATACCACCAAGGCAACAAAGGAGTGGCTCAAGAAGAAGCACATTAAGGTCATGGAGTGGCCTAGCCAGTCTCCAGAACTTAATCCTATGGAAAATATATGGAGTGTGCTGAAACGTTGAGTTGCCAAGGGACAGACAAGAAATCTTAAGGATTTAGAGAAGATCTGTAAAGAAGAGTGAAATAAAATCCCTCCTGAGATTTGTGCAAACCTGGTAACCAACTACAAAAATCATCTTACCTCTGTGCTTGTCAACACGGGTTTGTCCACCAAGTACTAAGTCATGTTTTGCTTGGGGTCAAATATTTATTTTATTCACTGAACTGCAATTCAATTTATAACATTTGTATAATTTTTTTTTCTAGATTTTTAGCGATATTCTGTCTCTATTATTTAAACCACCTTCCGCCCGCCATATAGTACAATGAGGGGCGCAAGGTGGTTCTCTCGTTCTGATAGGACGTCCTATGACGTCCTTCCATTCTCACCGCGCATGCACGGCTCAGGGAGCGCGCAGCACGGCGATCACCGATGCGCTGTGTCCCTCGGACACATCGGATCACGGAAACAGCCGAAGATGTCGGCTCGGTCATGTGATCAGCTATGTCCAATCACAGCTGATCACATGTAAACACGGAAATGCCAGTTATCGGCATTTCTCTCCTCTTGAGCTGTCACGCTGACAGCTCGAGATGAGAGGAGAGCTGGTAATTGGCTTTCCGTGGAGGGGACATGTGCACTGATCATCAGGGCACTGATGATCAGTGTGGCCTCAGAAGTGCCACCTGTCAGTGTCCATCAGTGCCAGCAGTCAGTGCTCATCAGTGCCAGTGCCCATCAGTGCCACATATCAGTGCACATCAATGCCACATATCAGTGCCCATCTGAGCTGCCTTTCAATGTCACCTATCAGTGCCACCTATCAATGCCAATCAGTGCCACCTATCAGTGCCGCCTATCAGTGCCAGTCAGTGCCGCCCATCAGTGCGCATCAGTGCCGCCCATCAGTGCCAGTCAGTGCCGCCTATCAGTGCCAGTCAGTGCCGCCTAACAGTGCCATATATCAGTGTCATGTATCAGTGCTGCCTTTCAGTGCCCATCAGTGATGCCTGTCAATGCCCATCAGTGTAACCTACCAGTGCCTCCTCATCAGTGCCACCTATCAGTATCCATCAGTGCAGCATATCAGTGCCCATCACTGCAGCCTCATTATCGCACATCAGTGAAGGAGAAAAATCACTTATTTACAAAATTGTATAACAAAAACTAAGCAAAAACTTTTTTTTTCAAAATTTTCAGTGCTTTTTGGTTTGTTTAAGAACAAATAAAAATCCCAGAGGTGATTAAATACCACCAAAAGAAAGCTCTGTCTCAAAAAAAATGATAAAAATTTCATATGGGTACAGTGTTGTTTGACCGCGCAATTGTCATTCAAAGTGTGACAGCGCTGAAAGTTGGAAATTGGCCTGGGCAAAAAGGGGGTATAAGTGCAATGCAGACTAGTGGTTAAAATACACCTATGATAAAAATGATAGACCCTTCATTTCTTTGTAAGTGGGCAAATTCACAAAATCTGCAAGGGATCAAATAATCATGTACATGATCATGAAGAGATTTTCAGTTTATGTGGGAGCTGTCATTGTAAACCATGGCCAAGTGTACAGGACCAGGAATGACACATAATAGCAATAATGGATACCATTAGGCACACATGGATAAAGAAATACTTAAAACAGTCTCTTCTAGAGATCAGGGACACACTCTATTAAAGACGTGATCATTAAAATACTTTACAAGGCTACAAAAATTGACTGCATACGTTTATTAACCACCTGTAGTACCTCTTCATTACCAGGCCATTTTTGTTATTTTTCAGCACTGAGAGAGTTTGGCCTACAATTACTAAATTAAAATAAAATAAATATAAACAAAATAAATAAATATACCCCCAAAATGTCCCCTTTTTGGAAAGCCGACATCCAAGGTGATCTAATATTTTTTGCAAAACAACTTTTTGGAAATGAAACATGCTGGTATTGAGGTGGTTAAAACACTGAGTTTGGTAATGGTGCAGCAGGTACAGTGCATCAATAATGTACAGTATATGTCGGACATGGAGACACATGATTAACCCCTTGACGGTGACGTAACACAAATATGCGGCCTCACAGAACTGGGCTTTTTTTCGTGGGGCCACATATTTGCGTACCTGTCTTTCTGTTGGGAGCGCACTGCGATGTCACTAAGAGCACCGGGACTCCCGATTCCGGGTCACATGCTCGCTGTGATAGCCTCTGATTGGCTATCACAGTGATCGCCTCTGGTCACTGTACAGCCCGCCTCCCTTTTTTTTTTTTTTGTCTCTATGAATGGAGGAGAGAGATACATTGTATCTCTCTAACTCCTGGCATAGAGGGGGAAAAAAAGTTTGTAAAAAATAAAAAAATAAATATTAAAAATAAAATAAAAAAATAAAGAAAAAATACCTAGATCAAGGTTTGATCTAGTTTAGTGCCGGGGTAAGTGTTTGGGTCAAGGTCAGGGTCAAAGGTCAGAATTTAAAAAAAAAAAAAAATGTGTTAGTGTCAGTAAGTGCTTTTGGTAAAAAAAAAAAAAAAAAAAACAAAAAACAAAATGTGCACTATTGTTTCTGGGCTGTACTGCAGGTATAAACGACAAATAACATACACATATATGGTATTGCTGCGATCGTCAAGAGCTGGAGAATTTATTTTGGCTCATTCTTTGGTGGTAGGTTATAGTAGTAACAAGAAACACACAGCTAAATTAAAAAAATATATTTATTTTTTACTATTTTGGGCCAGTTTTCCTTTGATAATAAAAATAAATCAGGAGATAGTCATTACCATTTACCACCAAATTAAAGCCCAATTTGTCCTGAAAAAAACAAGGTATAATTCACTGGATGTACAAAGTAGTTGTGATGATATGTACTGTTTTATGATCACATATCAATGTTGCAAAATTGTGCTTAGGCATTATGATTTGTTTTACCCTTAGGTGTGAAGGGGTTAAAGTGTTACTAAACCCAGGACCCTGCATTCATTATATCTGGTCTCCCACAGTACACAGAACATGGAAATGCAATTATTTTAGTAACTATAAACTGCTAAATACCTTTTCTCATCAGCAGTTAGAGCAGTCTTGTGATTTGTGTCCAGCCCAGCACTAGTTAAAGCTTGTAGGAATTTTCTTTCTGCTCTAGGATGCAAACCTCTGTCTGACCAGTGCTGATTGGCCCTGTGCTGATCAAATGCACTCTCCCAAGAAAAGAAAAAAAACTTTCTAGCAATACACACCAAACTGAGCATGTGCAAATGCCTTAGGTTCAGTATGTCTTATCAGATGATAAGAGGTAGTCACTTGAAAAACAGGAAGAACAGAGAAGAAAGTATCAAACAGACGTTTTACACAATGTAGCGTATTAACCCCTTAGGTTCCACAGTGAGTATAACAAGCATGCTTTACTGCATATACAGACTGATTTTACTGTTGTGGGTGTAGTAACACTTTAAGGGGTTATTGTATAGGTCACATAAAGAAGGTGGCTGGAAATGAGTGGGTTACAGGATGGGTTAAGATATACAGGAGAAGAGATGTGAAAGAGAAAAAAAATGTCCACATTAAAAGAATTAAATCTGCTTCTGCATACCCTTCATGGTTAAATCTTCACTCAGCCTTTCTGCTGTTGTGCGAGGAAGGAGAAGGCTTTCGAATGTAGTACAGTTTACAATTGTAATTGCTGTAATTGGTCATCCCAGTGATCACAAGGACAGAGCCACTTTGATTGGCTTTGATCCAGTGCCTATGATCGCTTTATCAGCTCATAGGCAAAATGCACAATCATAGGCACACTCACACAGTGCCATTTTAAAATGGTGCTCCATAGTACCACAGCCACCACTCGGTTTTAAAATAAATGATGGTAGTGAAGTGGTTAACTACTTCATGACTGCCCTTAGCAGATATACAGTATGCTGTGATAAGACAGTTTGTACTACGGTGTAGATTTATATATATTTTTACTTCTAAGTGTACTCTTCAACATTGCAATCATGACATTGTACTGCGTCTGTCACTAGAAGCCAATCACTATTATAGCCAAACAGTCAATGTACTCAAAGCTCTTCCAAAAGAAAACTTGTTGGGACTGCTGCTCCTTGTATCAGATGGAGCTGCAGATTACATTTCTGTAAATGTAAAAGTAGCAACTAAAATTGGAATTTTATTTTATATTCTAGTCCACATTTTCAATTGACAGATACATTTCTATTGATGTATGGTAGAGGAGATTCTCCTCCTTTTCTGTCATGTTTGTTCAGATGTAAAAAGCAAAAGAACATTTGTCAAACTATCAGATGCTGGAAATTGAATTATGTGTGAGAGAGTGATCAAGCCTGATGCTTATGAAAGTGGAATTTAACTGTATTTGCGCGCCAAACAGAAAATGCCATTTAACCACTTGCTGACCGCAGATAGCGGAATGACGGCTTCACTGCGACCGGCCAGTTCTGGGAAGGAGTCATATGATGTCCTCCCAGAACGTGCCCTTGGCGATCTCCGTGATCGCTGTGTCTTACGGACACAGCTGATCACGAGGTGGTAAAAGGCCAATAACTGCGGCCTTTTACCATGTGATCAGCCATGTCCAATGACACAGCAGATCACCGGTAAATGCATTTGCCGGTTATCGGCTGCACTTTCCTTACGCTGTCACAGCGTGAGGAAAGTACTGCCGATAACCGGCAATTGTCAGAGGAGGGATCGGCACTGATCATCAGGGCACTGATGATCAGTGCCCTAATGATCGATGCCCAGCAGTGCCACCCACCAGTGCCATTCATCTGTGCCCATCAGTGCCACCCATCGGTGCTACACAGCAGTGTCACCAGTCAGTGCCCAGCAGGGCCGCCAGTCAGTGCCCAGCAGTCAGTTGCAATCATTGTTGCATATCAGTGCCACCTATCAGTACTGCCTATCAGTACCCATCATTGTTGCATATAAGTGCTGCCTATCAGTGCAGCCTCATCAACGCACATCAGTGAAGGAGAAAAATTACCTGTTTGCAAAATTTTAGAATAGAAACAAAGAAAAACATTTTTTTTTTAAATTTTTGCTCTTTTTTTGTTTATAGCACAAAAAATGAAACACCCAGCGACGAGTACATACCACCAAAAGAAAGCTCTATTTGTGTGAAAAAAAATTATAAAAATTTCATATGGGTACAATGTTGCATGACCGCGTAATTGTCACTCAAAGTACAACATCGCTGAAAGCTGAAAATTGGCTGGGGCAGGAAGGGGGTATAAGTGTCCGGTAGGCAAGTGGTTAATTCATTTTTAATGTTCAAAGCAAATTCACCTCATCCATGTCTCCATGACTTACTTTGCACAGAAATTACTTTGAGAAACACCTCTCCAGCATTTCTAGCCAGGGTCATCTTTCTGGAATCCAACTGCCATTAGCTCAGGCATGCATGAGGGATGATGTGTGCTTAGGAGAGAAACCCCCTCCCCACAGCTGAAAGAAAATGCTCATGAGGACTCCTGGGATATATGACATCATTCTGGCCTAGGCCAGAAACCAGGAAGAAACTGAAGAAATGTAAAAACTACAAGCAGGCAGGCATGTTATTGTATTTACAAGTGTGACTTTAGTGCTTAATTGTATCTAGAACAGTGGACTGTACACAAAGCACGAGTCACATTTTTTTTTTTTAAATCTACCTATGTGTATGGTTTACCCACAAATTTAGAGGCCATGGCTGTATTCTTTCTGTGTTGCTACACATGATCAGCTCCCCATCCATGACAATAAGGATGCAATTTAGCTGTGTTTAGCTAATATGAATAAAAAAAGATGAAAGATGAATACAAATAGGATGAAAAAGTAACATGGCCAAACAGCTGATGTTTATGGGTAGTCCTCAAGTTGGCTTCATTGAGTCAGTGCTGGCTCCGGCTGCCTAGTCTATGCTCTTCCTTCATCACACAGGGACCACTGTGGAGCTTGCAGTTTCATGTTCTGCTTCTGTCTGACTCATATCCCAAATTATTATATTCAGAGGACATATGTAATTAGGAA